TTTTTTTTCGTTTAATTGTGCTTGTTGACATTATAGAAGTTCCTGTTCTAAGATGAGCGAGACGCACGGCCGGGCTTTTGCACTGACGATCTCAGTGTTGATGGTGGTCACCGGGTCGCTGAACACCATCTGTGCAAAATGGGCAGACAGTTTGAAAGCTGAAGGAGTAGCGTTCAATCATCCATTTTTACAGGTACGAAGTGATCGGTCGTCTTACTTACGATGAGAGATACTCTTGCTATTCGCTCATTTGTTTGATGAATTCAGAATTTTCCCTAACATCATTTTGATCTATTTTTTTTCTTACATTTTTGAGTCTGAGGATAGTTTTACTTTGCGTATTGAAGTTCTCCACCAGTGGGAATGTTTGGTTTTCTTCAACTCTTGAGTACACGGACTTTTACAAAATTGCCGCAACAATTTCACTATTCTTTCTCCGAAAAAAATTCATCCTTCTCTAATCTCAGCAAATCATAGTTATGAATGTGCCCTACTACTGTTGCAAGTTTGTCCGCATATGAACTAGTCTTGTTACTTTGCAGGCCACCTGTATGTTCTTCGGAGAATTTATGTGCTTAGCTGCTTTCTTCATCTTGTATCATTACAAGAAATACAAGTGGAACAGAGCTAATATTTCAGGTGAGTTCTCAGTGAAATTTGTTCTATTCAATCCAGCCAGTTGAAGCAAAAAGAAATAATAAAGGAGATATTGAAATTTTCTTTGGATCTCTTTTTAATTATTCCACATATCTTGGTTTTATGATCTCTATATTTCTTACCTTTGTTTTGTTATCAAAATGTATTAACGTCACTAGCTATATTAAACTGTACAATGCTATATTTTGGAGAGTTTTTGCGACATGCATCTAGTATTGCGAGGTGTTGTTTCGATATGGAAGTATCTTTTATCAAGCATATCTTATCCTACTGTACCAGTAATTAATATAGTCTTTTAATGTACACGAACATCTGACATCGCTAAAAGCTACATATTCAAAATTGTTCTAAGTACTTTCGAACACTAGGACCTCATAATTCAAAAAAAAACTAGCCTCCTTCTAAAATAAGAAATTCTTAAACTTTTCAACCTTAACGTACTTCAGGCACTTCTTTTTGTGCAGAATATGCCTTTAAAATTGTTACCATTTAATTTTAACTTCAATCTCAGGAGATGGTGGTTCTATCACTGACATAACCTCGGATACCGAACCGCAATTGCCGCAGTTTAACCCGCTTGTCTTCCTACCGCCAGCCTGCTGTGATATCCTCGCCACTTCTATTATGTATATTGGGCTCAATCTTACCACGGCTAGCAGTTTTCAAATGCTCAGAGGTGTGTACATTGTTATTTATCTGGCTCATGACATTTAATGATGACTAATCGTGCAGGAGCTGTCATTGTTTTCACTGGACTTTTATCTGTCGGAATGCTCGGTACGCGCATACAGGGGTACAAGTGGATTGGAATGATTCTCGTCATCCTTGGTCTGGTAGTTGTAGGAGTGACAGATATTATTTATGATGATGATCCACTGGATGATAAGAATGCTATAATCACTGGTAAGAATAAATGTAACTATTTCACTACAGTTAAAATCAGACTTGATCCAATCTGTCTAGTGTTTTAGGTAACCTTCTAATTATTATGGCGCAAATAATTGTAGCCATCCAAATGGTCTATGAGCAGAAGTATCTGAACCAGTATGATGTTCCAGCCCTTTTTGCTGTTGGACTTGAAGGTAAGCTGTATATTTCCATATCTACGCTGTCAGAAGTTATCAGAATGTTAGAAGCACGAGATGTGCATCCTAGATGGTTTTGAATGAAGCCTCTTGGCTTCACTGGACGTTAAAATCCCAGATTGAAATTGAAATCTTGATGGAAGCAACTTGAGATCTCATCAAGGATACAATTTGCAGAGCCATTTTAGTTCAATAAATCTGAGACTTTTTTGTATCATCATAGTCTACCTAATTATCTTCTCTTATTGAGGACTCTTTGGCATGACAATTTTATCCGTACTAATGGTACCGATGTATTATATCCATGTACCGCACACTTTTTCTACCAACCCCGAAGGTCGTCTTGAGGTATGAGGCATGCTTTAAATGCTTACTAGCATTATTGCTTCAATGACAAATTGAAGGATGTGTTCTACGCATGGAAAGAGATTTGCGAACAACCCTGGATTGCTGTGGCTTTAGGCGGAACCATCATTAGGTGGCCTTTTTTAACCTTCCTATTGTTTTTCTTTCTTTAGATGGGAAATTCTTTGTTTAGCATTGCATTCTTCAATTTTGCTGGTGTTTCGGTCACAAAGGAACTTTCTGCTACCAC